TATAGTCCACTTTCACCATTTACAAATGAAAGAAATACATCAAACAACCAATCAACACCTTGAATTATATATAATAAAAGTAAAACTATTACATATCGTTTCAGTCTTCCATATAATTGATGAACTGATGTTGCATGTCGAACATGATTTATTGTACGGCTACCAAAAACAATAAATAAAATTATATTAATTAAAAGAAATAGACATGTAGGTATACTCAAAAATCATAGATCACATCAGTGATAAACAGATATAGTGTATATGGATATAGTTTGATAATATTAAGTGACGAATTAGAATAAAATTCAATTGTAAATATCATCCATATTAGAGAAATAAAGAATGAAATGAAAAGATCATAAATAATTTGCGATCTGGTGGATGAGGAAATGAATGAACAAATTGAAGATAATGAAAGTATTCAACACTTGTTTTAATACAAAACATAAAAATCAAAAAGAAATAAATAAAGCACATAAGTACAGTTGAACTTGTAAAACATTTTATTTGATTGATAGATGATGTTGTGTAGATACTGTCGTAGTAAGTGCAATATAAAAGATGAAAAAAATTGTTGTAGTTGCACCAGATAGTAATGGAAGTAAATTGTATTATTCAAATTTATTTATAGGAAATTGAATTATTCTAAATATAGTATGAATAGCAATTACTAAGAAATAAATAATTGAGATTGATTAAAATATAAGTGATGTAATATCTTGAGAATTAAGATATGTTGCAGGTGATTGTTTTGGTAATCAAATAAGAGCAAATGAAGTAAGATGATTACAACTGCATTCATATCGATTCCCCTTTTATTATACTGAGCTTTTGAAGAACCAGAACCATTCGACTAAAATGTATTTGTATCATAAAATGAACAAATATAATTATCATTCACATCAAGTCCATGTTTTATTATATTCGAAAAGTATGATGAGATATTCATAGTACTAGATGATATATTATTTCGATATACATTGATTACAATAATTGATGAAACGAGTTTCTTATTAGTTGAATCATCATATTTAATGATTGAACATCAGATAAAGATTTATTACCAACAATAGCTGCAGCTGATGGTTGTGAGCTTATAAGCTCATTGAAATTTTGCGTGTCGATTACTTTTCCATCGGTATCACGTGTAAATGAAGCAAGTAAAATGATGTAATCATTCAGTTGATATGATGATTTTGTCATAATGAATGATGAGTTTGATGTAATATTTAAGCTTACATTAAGACTACTAAGGTATGTATTAGCTTGATCCGCTCCTACTATATTTATTGTATTTGTAGTTTTAATTAAAATAAAATATAAAATCAAAGTTTTGGCTTTGTCAGTTGCATTAGTAATAAATGTATTCAGTACATTGAGTGTCACGTTCTATTTCAAAAAGCTATAGAAATAACATATTCAAGACTTTGTTTTTATACTAAGACTAATTCATTAGATAAACAAGAACAATTGAGTAATGCTACTTGTAAGGTACTATTATAAATGTCAGGCTTATAAGGAGAAGCAGTAGTTGTTGTTGCAAAGATAGTAGAAGTAGCAGTATAATTTAATATAGAAGCATTTATCGTTACCGTTAGATTTCAATATGAAGTAACTATATAGAAAAATAGAAATGATATTAAAGAGACAATATTGATTTCATCTTAATAGTTTTGGAAATATCGATCATCACATAACTTCTAAATTGACTATATACGATCGATAATCGGACATATTTGTAATGAAAATCAATAGATATTCAAACTAGATTTCATATGATTTGACAAGAGAATATAAATTATCAAAGTTAAAGTTTTCTCTAAATCAATCAATTCATTGTTTCTTTTTCGCTTTAAAGAAATAATAACAGACGAAAAAAATCAACATCAATTTTAATAGAATGAGTTATTCTATAGTCAACGTCTGCTAAATTTCTTAAACTAATCTATTCACAATTTAAAAAAGCATGTTGATGAATGGGGTCTGATATATTATTCGTAAATTCGAGTCTATTTTAGTGATTATAAAAATCTCCATGACACATACTATCAATGGATTGATTAGTTGTTTCGGTTATGTTTGAAAAAGTTGAAGTATTTACTGGTAATTTAGCTAAAGAATAAAGAATATACTTCAGAGAAATATTCAATAAAAATAAAATATTTTTACGTGCCATAGTTTCTATACTATAATCGATTGTTGTTGTGTCATCTCATGAAGCGCGTCTTATCCTTTATCGATTGCCGCTATTATTGATTAATTTTTTATATAGAGTTTGAGTATCTGTATGAATATCATGATCATCATTTGAAAATTTTAGATTATTATATAACTGTATAGTGATTATAAAAATATCCATGGTCAATAAAAATACAATGTAAGATTTTATATTCATAATCGTTATAATTATTTTCTAAAAATCTATTATCAATGAAAAGGATCATTCTGGTTCCTCTTGTATTGACTTCTAATATGAAAGAGAAAATAAATATATACAATTTGTCATAAAACTGAGTTAATAATCGATGTCATTTAACAATTCACACATATATGATGAAAAAGAAGTATTGTATAGCAAATTAAAATATTTTTTTCTTATTAGAATCTAAAGAAAAAGTATTGGCACAACTTTTATTGCTGTTAATTTCATATCTGTTTACACCCAATAAACAATTTGTATATTGAATCTAAGATTTTATAAATTTGTGTTTACATATGCATGTAAAAATATGAATGAGTCGGCATAGAATAGTAGGGGATATTTCGATATACAAAGTAAATGTTTTATTTTGTAATATTTATAATGCCTGGTTCTATTTTATCTTATAAATAGAAGATGAATGACATAAAGAAGAAAATCTTCCTTTATTTCAAAAAGACAGATGATTAATAAATAATAAAAATTTGTGAAATCATTAAAAACGAAGAAACATGAGTATTTTATTATATTTCTTACATTATATTATAACTAGGGAAGCACTTGAGACTATCACATAGCGACAAATGTAAAATCAATAAAAAAACTATATCATCCGAGTGTAAAGAGGGAATAAATTCTGATATTTCAAAATAAATATCTACTAACTGGTTAGTTCCAGTTTATACAAAAAGAAACATGACCATTTTCATTTAGTAATTTATTAACATAACAAAATGTACAATTTAGTAAGAAGAAAATTCGTGACTTCCTATATTTTTCATTCGATATGTTTAAAATCAAAAAAATTCATTTATTTTCTTCACTATAAAAAGTAAAAAAGAATGAGAATTGCTTTTTAATTCGTTGACAAAATTAAGTGTATTAATGAAGATATACAAAAAACACTTGAGGGTGGGTGAGGTGTGGATGTCTTGAATCCATGATTCACACCCACACCCACACCCACACATAATAGTTATTCTACTCTTGATGAGAAACAGCTTTTCAAAGTTTCAATGCAATCAAAATTATAGAAGAATACATCGTGATTACATACAGTTTATATATAATTGCAAGGTATAGACTGCCCTTAGAATTATTGTTAGTATGACATATTTCATATTTTTTTCTTTCTATCCTTCATCGTCAGCACCTTTACAATATTTGATAAACACTTATTACTATATTGATATTCTAAACTTAACAAATGAATAAATATTTTTGCTGATATCGTCGATTCTATAGCTTAACTATGAAGATTTTTTTCTTATGTAAATATTTCATCTACTTCATTGTAAATTTATTATTTAAATGAAAAAAAAAGAATCACAAACAAGAATAATTTTGTTGTTTGGAAAATATAAGAAAGAAGGTGTAAATAAATGCATCAATGATTAGTTGGAGAGTAATAGATTTTTTTTGCGATCAAGACTGTAAAAACTATTTTTCATTTGCGTAACATATTATTTTAGAAACTAACATGAAGGAAGAACGAAAAATGTGCTCTCGAGATTTGTCTATGCATAATATATTTTCATCTTCGTTTGATTTGTGTAACCGTGTGAATTACGTGAAAAAAAAGATTTAAAAACAGAATATGATTATTTTAAATAAAAACTGTAATCGACCAGTATAAAAAATATTGATATCCGCAGCTTCAAGTGTATGAGTTATGGTGAACGTATAGATGATACATATATTGAACGCCCATCCTGATGATGACTTTAAAAAGCCACACGATTTCGGACCGAGAGTTAGAAAGAAGATTGAATAACTAATATATGATTATTTCAATATTGATCTCATTCAGTACTTAGAAGGTACGATATGAATTCATATTTTCAAATACAGTGACACAAAAAATTTATACGACTAGTCAATTGATGTTGATGATGTCTAAAATTTTGGAGTTACAAAAAAACTCTATAAATAGCAATGAAAGCGCACCAAGTCATTATAATAAAATTGGTTTTTATCGATTATTCTTATTGTCTGATTTTACTAATTCAATAAAGAACTAACATTACTTTTTTAAAACTCCATAAAATAGATAAAGATTTTAAAATGTATGTCATATATTTATAGAAACAAACCGCGAGTAGAGTCACTCATAACAGATTTAGATCTTAAAAATAATGTTTCTCTTTCATTTCAATAAGTTTTACTTTGACAGTAAACTCAATTTTTCTTTTTTTTCTTTTTGTCTATCTCTATGTGTATTTTTTTTGAAATTTAAAGATAAAATTATAATTTGTTCTTTACAAAGTTCTGCTTTTCTATTAGATCTCTCTTGTTATGGTATATTTGCCATGCAACAAATTATCTAATCATCTCCAAAGAAATTCCAAAAAAGGAATTTTTTTTCTTGAATTATCAATCAATATTATTATTCCTCATATTGTTCAATAAACAAATAACTCATAAATTTAATGTGATGATGCACTACTATGGGTTTGAATGAATACGAATTTCAAATTTATTTCATTAAATTATAAACAGTTGATTATATTATTTATAATATCCAATAAATGATATTTAGAAAAAAAAGAGAAAATTTAAACTAACAAAATATTATGATTGATTAATCAATAAAATGTTTATATCGATTAATAATAAGTGTAGTGTCATCATCAATTGGTTCACAGAATGCCCCATTCATAAGTACAAAATTTGTCATTAAACGAGTACATAATGATAAAAATGGTGAATAATTTATGTTACATCGTTGAATTTTGATGTTAGTTTCAAATATAGATATTGTTGAATATACATCAATACCAACAATTGTTTCTTTTCTTGGAATATCGAATTGCTTTTGAACAGTTAAGCCAATATTCCATAATGATAAAATTTGAATATTATAAGATAATGCATGTTGAATTCGAATTCTGTAATTTGAATAATTCTTCTCTATTAATTCGATTTGAATATGTTCAATAACTAACGAACGATTAAATCGATCATCAAATGTACAATTTGTTGAGCTACGACATGTTTTATTATATAATTTATGACCACTTTTAATTGAAAATTGATCAAGTATAGGTGATAGAACAAGACCATGATAAGTATTAACTATAATAGATGATTGTTGTGACATACGTGAAACATTGAATGATTTATTCAATAAATTTTTTATATTATAAATTGATCTTGATGTATGTTTAGCATAAAATGTACTTGGACGTTTTTTCGTAAATGGTTGAAGAATACAAGGAATAGGAAGAACAATTAATAGACGAATTAATTGTTTTGTTCGTTGTAATATTGAAAGAAAAAATAGTTTAGGAATGATAACAATACTACAAATAATTATATTTCCACGATGTATCATTCCATATGAAAGTGGTAGTGAAATAAATGGAATAAAAATATGAAGTATTCGATTGACTGTTTCAATTGTATGTATTAATGGAAAAAAGATATTAACATCGGTAAAAATAACCAATGAATTTTTTTTTAAAGAAATAACATTGTATATGTTTCCAATGGAGAGTAAATTCAATAATAATAATAAGAAGATATAATGGGCAAATAAATATTGACCAAATAAGAGCTATATGAGAGAATTGAGAATTAGAACAAATTGAAATAATCATTGATAAAGTATAAACGATGAGAACGGAAAATTTTTTTGTTCAAAATTAAAATGAATTTCATTCAAATGTTTATTATTGTATTCATTTGAATTTTGAGAAGATTTTCGAAGAATAAAACAACATAGTAGGTCGAGTAAATAATAAAAAATAATAAACCAATTAAACATGGTAAACTACAAGGAAATATGGCTAATATTGAATTACCGTATCATGGAATAGGTTGAATTATTGATATAATACATGCTAAAATCAACGAAAATATGAGACCAATAATCATAGATAGAATATTAGAAATAGAATATTTAATAATAGAAATAGTACGAATAGTCAACAGATATTTAAATCGAAAATAAATACAATGAGAATCATTGCATGATAAATTTTCTTGTTGGTGATATAAATGATCGAATATCATTTATCAAATTTGATAAAAGTTCAAGTAAAATAACAACACCCGGGCCATCATCAGCAGTTCCAGGACTAAATTCCACTATTAAAGCAGGAAAAAAAAGAATTTCACATTAAATGATTAAATTTCTAAATATATGTACCTGAGTCGCAATAAGCAGTTAGCATTAGACTCGGTATATTTCGAGATCTATTAAGTGCATTTGATACACGAACAAAAATATTTTGTAATTGATTGTGTTGAAAATCAGTAAAATTTTGAAGATTAAGTTCACATTGAATATGTCTTTGACTCATTGGACAGATACGTTTTATTTGTAAAATAAGATAATCAAGTGCATCCAAAATTTTCACGTGTATTACTTACTCATGATCCATATTGAGTTCAATTAATTAAATAATCAAAAGCACGTTCTTTACTAAATACATGACGTGCAATTGCTCGTGTTTTTATTGCTAGTACTGAATAGGAGAGATGATGCGCAAATGGACCAAAAGCAAGTAAAAGATAAATTAATAAAACAAACCATAGAATAAATTCTTTGAGATGTTGATTGTTATTCATAATGTGTATGCTTTTTTTATATATAAGTCAAATATTCAATTGTTTTTTTCAATGGTTGCACGTGGACAAAACAGTTTGTGTTATGCGAAGAAAAAGATAATAAGTGATAAAAATGCTCGGAACAACAGTGAGAAAAAAAAGAATAAAAAGAGTATGAAATATAAACTCTTGAGGGTGTGGGTATGGTAGTGATAGATTCTATAAGGATACCTGCACCCACACTCTCAAGATTATATACGATAGATTAGTCAATACATTAAATAAAGAATG